CAAGCAGTGGAGAGATTCTTGCGAAATAATCCTGGTAGGGTTGTAACACAATATCAAATGTCCCGCCTTATTGGGGAAGCTTTTTTGAATGCAGCTACTCCAACCATTGCTGTAAAGGGATTTCGGAGATGTGGTATAGTTTCAATCAACAGAAATGTGTTTTTTGAAGACGAATTCGCTCCAGCAGCGACCACAGATATCTCCAATCCCTTGGCCGAAGTCCCACCAGCTGATGTTAATCGTGAGTCACAGAATTCGGACCAAGAGGACTCCTTAGCTGAAGTCCCACCAGCTGATGTTAATTGTGAGTCACAGGATTCAGACCAAGATGAAACCAATTCTGATAAGACTGACGGCAGATCTGCAGATCCTCAACCCAACAATTCGATTCCTGTAGTATCATTTTATGGTAACAACAAGGCAAAAATCACTGTAGGTTCCGGAGATCCCAACAGTGCTTTTTTTTTCATCCACGGAAATTCATCAAGACAGGTCACCTCGTCAGCTAAAAGCACACTCATCAAGCCCAGTATATCATGTGCTGTAAACCTGCTCTCTACTCCAAGTACTTCATCTGCGAGAAACAAACACGCCTTGCCTAGTAGTTCATCCTCATTTGCAGTAAGTCCTAAAGATATTCTACCAATCCCTAAGACAAACATTACCAAAAGAAAAAGTATCCGGAAAAAGGAACCTCGGCCATTTTGACATCAAGCCCATACAAGAATGAACTTGAAGCAGCGAAGGAAGAAAGAGAAGAAAAAGAAAATCAAACTAGAATTAAAAAACGAGAAGAAGGATAAAAAGAAGGAAGAAGCAAAAAAGAGAGAAGTTGCAGGGAAAAACAAATAGAAATCAACTAAACGTATTTTGTTTGAGGATTCCGATGACAGTGACCACAGTGACACTGAATGCTTGTTTTGTGGGGAGTATTTTTCTAAGTCAAGGGAAAGAGAAGGATGGATCAAGTGCTCAAGTTGTCAACTCTGGGCACACGAGGCTTGTGCGAGGAAGAAGATGAGTTTTAAAAAAACAACAATGTGTTTAAAATAAGCCTTCTCTTTTAATCTGTTTAATGTAGTTGTTTTGTTTTGTATAGTCTTGAAAATTTTAAATTTTTAACTATTTAAACTGACTAATATTTGTTTTTCAAATATTTTTAACTTTTATATAACTTGTAACATTGTTTATTTTACAATTTATTTCATCCCCCACATTTGATGAAACTTGTTTGTAGTATTCCCTAGTGGATGGAGAGTATGGTGAGTTTTCTTTTTTACTATTTTATATATCGTTGGCTCAAAGTTAACACACCTTACACCACATATTCTCCTTTCCACTAGGCGAGCCTGAAGATGAAGTGATGATCCTTCGAAACCGGTCGCACTCAATGTTTTACTGAATAATTAAACATTAACTTTCCTTGTGAGATATAAAGGACTTTTTCTCCCCCTTCACCTTAAAAAAAGAAGATGAGTTTATTTGTGACATCTGCAGATAAATAATTAATAAATTGGCAACAGATAATATTATAGTTTTTTATATCGGGCAAAGTGGCTACTCAGTGGCCATTTTGCCCTACCCCTTCGGGCAAAAATGCCATTTGGTAGGGTTGGGGGTTAGTTATGTTATCTCATTAAGAAAATTTAATTAAGCCAACATTTTTTTTTGCTTATAGCTAAATAACCAAATTAACTAATGTCAAAGTTTCATTTGCTATTTTCAATATTTTCTTTTCGAAAAAAAATATTTTTCCTTAGCGTGGCCACTTTGCCCACCCTTACCCTATATGGTATTTATCTGGTTTCGAGATTGGTTTCCCTTCATTGGTTATTTATGGTTTCCCCATATTGAAACCATATTAGAAACCGATCATAATCCTATATTTTTTTTTATGTTACATGGTGTTTATCTGTTTTTGATATTGGTTTCCCTTCATCGGTTATTTAAGGTTTTCCCATATTAAAACCATATTAGAAACCGATCATAATCCTATATTTTTTTATGTTACATGGCATTTATCTGTTTTTGATATTCGTTTCCCTTCATCGGTTATTTAAGGTTTTCCCATATTAAAACCATATTAGAAACCGATCGTAATCCTATATTTTTTATGTGATATGGTATGTATCTGTTTTTGATATTGGTTTTCCTTTATTGGTTATTTATGTATTTCCCATATTAAAACCATATTAGAAACCGATAATAATCCTATTTTTTTGATGTGATATGGTATTTATATGATATTTATTTGGTTTTGATATTGGTTTTCCGTCTTCGGTTATTTATGGTTTCCCCATATTGAAACCATATTAGAAACCGATCATAATCTTATATTTGATATGGTATATGTGATATGGTATTTATCTGGTTTCGAGATTGGTTTCCCTTCATCGGTTTTTAATAGGTTTCCCATATTGAAACCACATTAAGAACCGATATAACCCTATCTTTTTTTATGTGAAAAGGTATTTATTTGGTTTTGAGATTGGTTTCCCTTCATTTACTTTTTATGGGTTCCCTATATTAAAACCACATTATAATAACCCAAACATAATTCTATAATTTTTTATGTGATACAGTATTTATTTGGTTTTGAGATTGGTTTTCCTTCATCTGTTTTTATGGGTTTGCTATGTCAATATTGTTTAATACTACAAATACTTTTTATGCAGAATGCGTGAATAATATGTCGAATTGTATTAAATACCATATATTAAAAAATATTCATTTTTACGACCATAGTGAATATTCTACACGTTTTTTCAATGAAAATTATTATTATTATTTTCTAGTATTTAATTATTAAATAATATATTATATGCCTGTTTTTCAATCAAGCAATCAATCAAAATATACTTTATTGTCACAGAAAACCTATCAATGATGTTTAATAGATATACTTTCTATTTGAATATTAATAATTTTTGTTATTCTCAGTAAATCCTGTTTAAATTATAGTAAACAAATCAGGTAAATAAGACCTTTTTCATCCCTAGGTAGACAATTTGTTTTGGAAGGGGCGATAAGTGACAACTGGACGCATACTGGACTGGTATATGAGGGTGGGGGTGGCTGTTATTTATATTCTCTTATTGCGTCTCTCATTTATCTGTCTCTAATTGTCTAATTGATAATTATTGTTGTATTTTATTGTTGCGAGTTTGTTGTATAGAAAAGTGAAACTAAGTGACCTTAGTGCCGCCGGTTCCAGAATCTTATTTAGAGACATAAAACAAAGTAAGTTGGTAATTTTTTATATGTATATTTCTTTACCGCTTTTTTGAATTGTATTTTTTGTATTGTTAAATGAATTATTCTGTAGTGTTTTAGATATATTAAAATTCAGTTGTTAAAAATGTTAACAAACCATTTATCAATAGTAATTGGTTAAGTAATGCATAAAATAAAATAAATATTAAAATATAAAATATGCAATATTTTTGTCCTTAAGTATATTTGATTTAAAAGTAAGTAAATTCTGATCAACAATTTTCGATATTGTTAAAAATAAAGTTACTTTACTCATGCATCAAGTTCATAATTTTCGACAAACCTCGTAGATGACTAAAAAAAGTTGATATATGATGGTTGCATTTAAGTTTTTACACCATACAGAACTTTTTATACAAAACTTTATTTTCATAAAACTACTGAAAAGGGTTTTCATATGGTGCCGACTTAAGTAAGTGTGTCTACTTAAGTCGGCACCATATGAAAAAATTATATTTTCAAAAATATTTGACATTTATTGTTTTGTCTAATTATATAATCTGTTTTCTTTTTTAATTCCAGATGCTATACGGCGAAGATTTGCTGAAGCCACAGACGTGGAAATTAGAAAATCCGTGTCCTTATTTCTGGCGACAACAAAGGACCGAAACTCAAAAAAATAAATAAATTTGTAACCGTTTGTTTATATTATAATATAATTGTATTTAATATGTAGTTTATAGTAATTGTACATACATTATTTTTTAAATTTAATTTTTTTTATATATTATTTTTTAAATCTTTTTTATGTATCAATATTAGTTTCAATTTTTTAATAAATATAGGTAAAACAAATTCAAATTTTTGTTGTACTTTTTAACCACTTCCGTAACTTTGAAAACCATATTAAAACGTGATTTAAAAATCATATTAAAACCTGATTTAAAAACCATGTTGGTACCTGGTTGGAAAACCATATTGGAACCTAATTGAAAAACGATATTGGAACCTGATTGGAAAACCATATTGGAACCTTATTGGAAAACCATATGGGAACCATAAATAAAAGCGTTACATTCCAATCTCAAAACCACATTTGCAAATCTTATGGTTCCCATATAAGTGTACTGCTAGGGATTAAACAAAAATAACGAAGTCATTAGGGAATAAATATATTCATTTCTTAAAAACTTTCAAAAACGTGTATTTAACGCATCATCTTTGTTTAAATAAAGATGTTAACAAACAAATTAAATAAAGTTTACTAACAAATACCTAATAAATAATAAATAATTTTTTGGTATTTGATACGCGCCTATGCTGACTCTGTTGGAATTTTCATTCATAGACAACAGTGTTGATCATGCATATGACTCACCTTTTCCAATATTTTGTCAGAGTATAGTGTTCGTTAACCTAAATTAAATGAAATATCTAGAAGACTATACGTGTGTCTTTTTTCCAACTGTTGCAGCAACGTTGGCATCGGTGCGGTATCGTCATGTCTTTTTTTTTTTCATCAATCTATCAACAGTGCTGTCTTTTTATCCAACGTTGCTGCAATCGATGCAACACCATTCCAGCATTTCAATTTATGGTTTTTCCGATTAGATGTGACAACTGACAGCTGGTTTGACGTAATTCGTGCTTTGTATTTTGTGTTTCAAGAGTTTACCCATAGAAATAGAAAAATTAAAGCCAGTAGTCTTTTATTTAAAAAAATTATTGAAAGAAAATTAAATTATAAAATTAGTATTTTTTTTTGTAAATGAATTAAGGTTTCAAAAATGGAAGAGAATCATATGATTAAAATACAATTAACTTATGAAGGTAACGAATTTACAACATTCGTTAGTCAATGTTTTTATGAGGTTTTAAGAAAAGGTACGAATTATAAGAGCCAAATATTAATATGTTTTATAGTATTTATGAAAAGTGATTGAATGCCAAATTCTTATTTTACATTCAGACATTTGGAAAATACATTTTATTTTAATAAACATTATTACAGATCCAACCACTTTGCAAAATTATGCAGAATTATTGTATAATAAGGAATATGTGAATAGGATAGATGTGTGTAAGAATAAAGAAAATAAAAAATTTTTTTGGTCTGAAGTTTCAGTAAAATTATTATTAGAGAAAAGATTGTCCATGGAAAAAGATTTCATACAACCAAAATGCTCAAAAAAAAATTGTAGAACACAATTGCAATAAGCTTAAACAAATTTATTTATAGTTTTCGATTTAATGTGTGACAATAAATATAGAAATTTATTGCATATATATAAAACTAATAAAAAAAAAGCAAAATACTACTGGTGAAGGAACAATAAGGTGGGAGCATTTTAAGTCATTTGATAGTTTTAGGTAAAAAAGATTCTTCGTACCCCTACCCCCAAATTAATTTAGGGTCAAATATAGAAGTAGTTGATGACAAAAGCTATGAAGCAGTTAATGAAATGACTGAAGCAGGCAGTAGCAGCCAACAAGAAAGAGAACCCCAAAAAGAAAATCAGAAGTATTGTCAATGGGCAGATATTTGCTTTTAAAAAATAAAAAGGCTAAAAAAATGATGAAAAAAAAAAGAAGCATTTAAGAAAAAAAAATTTAAAGAGGAAAAAGAACTAAAAAACAAGAAATAGATGCTATTTTAAAATTATCAGCCGCTATATCAGCTTCAAAACAAAATTAGTACGTTTAACAGGTGCTGTTCGTGGCCTAGTCTACGAGGAAGCTACTTTGAATATATACTTAATACAAATATATATTTCTATTAGAGTGCAATTTAATATTTCTGTTCTTTGTATTCTAATAGAAATATAAATTGTTATGTTATTATCGTTATTGTTTTAATTTATTATTATAGATATATTTTGTATTACTTACCTTTTATCCTTTTTTTAATCTTTTTCCGGCTTGTCTTTGTTTCGAGCAAACAGATTCTCTCTCTCAAGGGCGGTTCAGTTAAATCTGACAGCTTAATTGTAAATTAATTTTTTTTTATTGTGTACCTTGATTGAAATATTGTCCCTTTTTTTAATTTAATTTTACCATACTATATTCTAAATTGAAATAAATTTGTTTAATTTTATACATAAATTAACCATTTATTAACCATTAATACCTTTAAAAAAAAAAAAAGTTTAACATAAATTATTTAATAAACACTTAACAAGAAATACCTACTCAATTATCTAAAATTATATCTCGTTGAACTCATTTTAAATATTTAAATTGTTATTTAAATTTACTGTTAAAATAATTTCAACTTCTTAGTTGACTTAGGCCTAATCCCTTTAGAAAAACTAAGGACTATCTAATTTATAAATTGAGGCTATGAAAAGCTAAGTGGACTAACCCCAATTTGGTCTAAGTGCGTTTAGACCACTTTGCTTTTGAATGAATATGTTAATTTGTTCAAAAGCCAAACAACGATAGCACTGCCATCTAGCGATCTATTATAAAATGTGGCTTAGTCCGCTTTGCTCTTGATAGATATGGGTATCATGATTCAAATAGTATCAAAAAAAGAAAATTACAATTTTGTGGGTTAGTCCACTTAGCTTTTCATAGCCTCAATTACAATTTTAATTTTTTATAATTATTGTCTAATTCATTAGATAATAACTTTATCAAACACGTTGCGCCATCTATTAACAATCTTAGTAACTTTTAATGTATAATGAATAGTTTTCTATTCTCTTCAAAAATTAGAATGATCAAATTTGCACTAGATGGGATAAATGTTTGTTTATTATTATATTACCGAAGTACCAAATCATTCTTGGTTAATATTCACAACAGAAAGAAAATGTGTTGTTTCTTATTGTCTGTATAAAAATTTCATCTATATTCGGTAAGTACTATTTGTAAACCTTTTGTAATATGCAAATATAGTTAATATTATTTTATTTAGCTCCAGTTCATGTATTAAAAGAAATTATTTTAGCATTACACTTATCTGGCATGTCTCCCTTCCATGACCACCACAAGGATTCCATAAACTTGAATTTACAGTCAAAACTAGAAATTCTGATAGAGAAAGATTCCAATTCTGATCCTCGTCTTAACTATAAAGGTACGTATCCAGTTTATTTAGCTTAATAGTACATTACACTTACTTATTATCTAATTTTTGACAATTTTTTAAGACAAATTTATTTCAAAAACTTATCTTACTAATCTCTTAAAAATTTTTAGATGCTGACTCTTTAACAAGACCAAAATGTCTGCCAAAAAAAATTGAAAATGTTTTTTCCCCGTTGTTTGGGACTCACCATCGAAACGATGGAATTCCTATCATGGTTCCCTTTGTATTACATATTTTAACCAAGTTTATTTTGTGACGTCATTTTGATCAAAGGTATTTCTAATTATTATTCTTATTTAACAATAGTTTTTGCTACCTGTCAAAATTGATAAACATATTCTGAGATACTACTGGGTTGTTCACTATTAAAAAATATCATTTGATTAATTTGTTTGCTGGATTGTCAGTTGTAGTATTTTAAGTCTGACTGTAAAAATTACTTCAATTATTTTAGAATCATACAGGGTTGTTCATTATTAATGAATATTAATTGATTAAATTGTTTACTCTCATTTGATATTTTATTTTTTAAATATTTATTTATATTCTTGTTTTACTTTTCCTATATTGCATTTCTTCACAATATATTTGTATTAAGTATATAAGGTGTGCCTTTCAAAAGTAGCCTCCTCGCCATGAGCCACCTCCGATGTTTAGGTTCATATTTATAAACTTATCTTGTAGACGTTTGTTCTTGATGAAACCCAAAATTTTGGAAGAGCATGGGAATTTAGAATATAAATAGTAACAAATGTATAAATCTACATTTTAATACATTTACAAATTAATTCCTCTCCAGCTCTAAATTTCCATACCACCCGAACTTTGGTTTTTACCAAGGGTTAATTAGCGAAAATCAGTTTATAAATAAGGATCTAGCTAAGGAATAATTCCATTTAAAAGTTGGGGGTGGGTAGAAATTTACGTGTTGACTTTAATATTTTCCGTTCTGTGACTTTTTTGTTTATTTAAAATTGTTTTTTACTTGATAGTTTTTATGGAAGAAATGTTCCTTTTTTTTGGGTCACTGATAATCGTGATAATATATTATTTATTGAATAGTTTATTATTTTGTTACATATTTAAGTGCTAATATTTTATTTAGAACATATTTTTGTTTGGTTTTTTCGATAAAATTATATTTTTTATTCAAAAAAACTCATAATTAAATCCCTTTTTTTCTTGATCTACAGCTAAATTTTGTCTTGTTTAATTCAATGGTTTCTTCATGCTCGATTTCATTTTCTTCATTGTCTACCACTGTTTCACAATCAATAAATTCACTGTAATCTATACAAATATTGTGTAATATACAAGCAAACTATCACATAATATTTGGCATATTTCAAATTTCCAGAAGTTGCATTCTTCTCCACTTCCCTTTTAAAAGTCCAAATGCCTGTTCTATAATGACCCTGGAACTGATTAGCTTTCGGTTGAACGTTTTTTGTTTTATTGATAAATGTCCATTATCCCTATAAAGGCTCATGAGAAACATATCTAGTGGATATGCAAAGTCTCCTAATAAAAATGTGCCTTCTGGTAACGGACACCGTTCTCTATTTAATATTGAATATAATGCAGAGTTTGTTCAGACTCTAGCATCATTTGCTGAACCAGGCCACCCACAATACACATCTAAAACCGTATTTGCATCGCAAACACCTTGTAATAAAATCGAATTGTACCCCTATCAATTGTAATAAGAATTGTCTTTTCTTGGACCAGGTATTTTTATGTGGGTACAATCAATACAACCCACAACTCCTAGGAAAGTATTAGGTCTTAAATTATTAAATTCTTCAACTTTCCTATTTATTTGAGAATTTCTTGGCCATTTAATGTATTTATTTCTTAGTTTTTCATAAAATATTTTTGAAATATATATAAAAATGGCATGTCCATGACTTCTTCTGAAACCAAAGCGGTCTGAAACACCCCGAAAACTTTCAATATTTGAAATTATCCATATTGAAAAATGGAGTAGGATTTCGTCTTAAAACTCGTTATGTACTCCTATAATGAGGTCCAATTTCTTTTAAAATAACCTTAAAATGTAAATATATAATAAAAAACCTGACTTCTTTTATAAAAATTTGCAATAAATTACCTCTACAGTGGATCTATCGAGTCTGAAATGGCTTTTAAAATCCATCTCTGAATATGCATTTACAACATTTGCAACATAATTGTTAACATGCACTGCTTCCTCTTGCGTTATGAACTCTAAATCTGAAACACTGGATTCGCTGGAGTCAAAGGATTCTTCGAAAAAGGTTCTCGACGACCGAAGCGTCCTTTGAGCAAATAAATAAATAATAAATAAATAAATAAATAAATTCTTTATTGCCCAACAGATATAACATCCAAAGATAGGACAAAATATAACAATAGATTTTTAAGAGTAAATATTAATAAGTACTAAAATAAATAATAATAACAAAATATATATATATAAAGCTAAAAAAAAGTGAAAGTAAAAATTATAAATTAAATTGACCCTGCGCAAAACATGTTCAATTCAAGTTTTTCAAAGAAAAAAAATGTATATTACAATTCAGAAATAAGTACTAAGATGGTAATAAATAATAATAACAAAATGAATATAAAGCTTAAAGCAAAAATTAAAATTAAAAATTGAGGGTGACTATGCGCAAAACATGTGCAAGTTTTTCAAAAAATATATCACAATTCAAACATAAAATATTAACATTTTGGCACATAATATATATTGGTGATTTCATTAGCAGGTTAGTCCTGGGAATAGGAAGAGAAAACGTATTGAATGTCCGTGCATTTTGTCGTGTTACTAAAAAGTAAAGTCCTTCTAGTAGAATAGAACAATCAATTATATTATGAATTATTTTATAAATTGTAGAAATTGACATTAATTTTCTTCTATTTTCAAGGGATTGTATATTATATCCATTACGCAACACATTTTCATCAAATCCATGGGGGGGATAGATACCCCTAACCTTGTAATTTAAAAACTTTAAAAATTTGCGTTGCACTTTTTCAATGCTGTTCTTCTGCAACTCTGTCTTCGGATACCAAATCAAAGAAGCATATTCCAACTTGGAACGAACTAATGAAAAGTACAGTGACTTTAAGGCAGCTTCAGTTCTAAACTTTTGACAATTGCGAAATAAAAATCCTAACATTTTATTTGCAGATTTAGTAATAGTATTAACATGTACACTAAAAGTTAGCTCCGAATCAAATATAACACCTAGATCTTTAGTTTGATCACACCTGACTAGTTCTTCATTATTAATGGTATAATTAAAATTTGTTGTGTTGACTTTTCTGCTAAAACTTATAGCTTTGCATTTTCGTACGTTCAGAAACAATTTATTGCGCTTACACCAATCATATAAATTATTTAATTGTTCTTGAAGGAATAAACAATCATGTATATCAGAAATTTCAAGAAATACTTTTAAATCATCTGCAAATAACAATTTGGAACAAGCGATATGATCAGTGACATCATTGATGAAATACAAGAAAAGTAGAGGACCCATATTGGACCCTTGAGGAACCCCTGAGGTAGCATAAAATAAATTTGATGAAAACCCATTATAAGAAACAAATTGTTGTCGACAAGATAAGTATGAGTGGAAGAATGTTTTCATTGCTGATGAAAATCCAAATTGATCTAACTTGTTAACGATTACTTTTGGGTCGATTTTATCAAAAGCTTTTTCGAAATCTGTTAAAACTACATCTACTTGACCACAATTATCTAAAGTCTCATGTAAAAACTGAGAAAAAGATGATAAATTAGAAACAGTAGAACGATTTTCCATAAAACCATGCTGATGTACCGATATTAAACATTTAGTTAGAGGGTAAATTTTATTATAAATACAAATTTCGAAAATCTTAGCAAAATTATTTAAAACTGAAATAGGGCGATAGTTATTAAATAGAGATGGATCTCCTGACTTGAGAATTGGACATACACGTGCGATTTTAAATTTATCTGGAAATATAGAAGTTTTTAATGACATATTAAAAATAAACTTAAGGGGTTGTATAAAAATATTTCTACAATCTTTAATTAAAAAACTGGGTATACCATCCTCACCGGAGGTGATTTTAGCGGCTAGTTTGTTGATTGCAAAAATAATATCTTCGTCACTAAAACTTTCGATATTTATACTTGGAAGATTATTTAAGTCCTCTGTTAGGATCGTATCAGATACTGATGCAAACACACTACTAAAGTACTCAGCAAATCCATCTACTATGTTTTGAGGAGTGTCGTAAGAAACTCCTTCGTTGAACAGAATTCCCGGAATTCTCGATTTACCTTTTTTAGTTTGAATATATTTCCAAAATTCTTTAGGCTCACTAGAGACGGAGTTTTCAACTTTAGAGATGTAGATATCATATGCAACCCTAGTAAGTCTTTTGACTTCTTTTCTTAAATTTTTAAATCGATTTAAATAAAACGGATCGCTAGTTTTAGTATATTTTTTATGGCAAAAGTTTTTTAATTTATTTTTATTTATAATTTCGGCATTATACCAAGGTGGATAGTCATGTGTACGTTTTCTGTGAAGTGGAACAAACAAATCAAAAATAGAATTTAAGTTTGAATAAAATTTTGAACAAGCTACATTCACGTCGCTAATAGAGTCTAAAAATGACCAATCGTTGGCATCTAGGGCACTATATAAATTTGGAAAATTCGCTCGCTTAAAATTGTAACTTTTGCGTTCACACGTAACTGGAAAATTAATTTGATTACATAATAATTGATCTAACGAAAAATTAACCAAAAGAGATGGGTGATGTATATCTTCTTTAACTAAAGGTATAGTTTCACGGTTTACGCTACAATTTAAATCACTTAAAACAAGATCTAGCAATCTCCCATTACAATTTGTAATGTTATTAAATTGGGTCAAGTTGCAGAGATTGATAAAATCGTTAAGAACTATTTTAGGCCTACAATTGGCATTCTCATTATTAAAAGT